GCTGTGCTTGAGCACAGGGGAGGCCTTGAACATAAGGAGGAAACGGTTCAAACCCTATCAGTAATTTTCAGTGCTTCAGCTTTCAAAATTGCATTACTTTTCGGTATGGTTTCATATATCTTGACCAATTATTAAAGGTTAGAACTATTTTTCAGTAGGCTGCATTAACATTTTAGTATCAGCCGGTAAATACAGATGAAAAATTCACCTTTTATTTTACTTCAGTACAAAGTCTACTTTTAAATCATTGTGGAATTTGTTTTAAGGCTTTAGCTAAAAGTCTTCAATCATGACTTTTATCATGATTGTTTATTATTATCATGAAAGTTTCATGGCAAAACCTAAAGTGATGATAAAGCTTTCAGAGAATTAACAAACACCTTATATTGCAAACAAATATGTAATTCTCTCATTATCAAGTCCTTTTATTTCTCTAGTGAAAAAGTTATCTAGAATCTTAAAATAAAAAGTGGTGGTATTAAGCCAAACACTGCCTTGCCAAGAATACAGTGTTGCTTGCAGGGGTTTTTGGGGGTCTTTTTAGAAATCTTGATGTCTGTAGCATTCATGTCTTTTTTGGGTAACAGCTGACAAGCTTGGGGTCTGCAAAATACTCCTCCTGAGATCTGACATTTGATCTCAGCAAATAGGAGATTGCTATTTTCATGTACAAATAGAAACATAATTGCATTATCATAAAAGTCAGATTGCAAATGCCCATGAGTGCCCTCTTGATCCCAAAGGTGGTATCTAATGTAAAAGATTTTTACATAACTGAAATAGCTCCCTCTGCTAATGTCTTCAGGATGAAAGCAGCAAAAATCCAACCATAAATATACTCTAACATCAGTAAAGACACAATTCAAAGTATCTTAAAATTTTTATTTTAAGTCCACAGTAAAATAAAGGAAATAGTTACCAGCAAATGGAAAGGAAAAGTTCATTATCTCAGCTACTGATACGAAAATTCAGACTCACTCGAATAAAACCAGTGGAAGTGTTTCACTGTCCAGTGCTGCAGCTGGAATTAGAATTGGGATCAAAGATTGGAAGCATCTCTTAAAGGCCAGAAGAAACAGCAAAACCAGAAATTATAATTTTTAGCCTGCTTTCCTAAGGAGAGGAGACACAAACAACCATGCTGTATCTGTCTGTCCCATCCTTAGTAACCTGGAGGCCACTGATCTCTTTTAAGGAGATTTAACAAAGCAATATTAATTTCAAAGATGCTGTGTCTCTGTGTGTTTTCCAGAAATCAGAGGAAGTGGGGAGACTACTACTGTTTGTGTGGACCAAGGACTGTAATTGGCTTCACTTTAACATGTCACGTCCAGCTGAGAGCTCAGGCACCAGCTGCAGCCTGTGAGCAAATATGGCTTGGCCAGCACTGCCCTCAGGGACTGATTGCACACCTCATCAGGTGCTGAAAGCTTTGTTGAAAGTCATGCACTCCTTTGGAAGAGGAAGTCCCTGCCCTGGGTAAGATATGTTGTAGTGTAGACAGACTGTCAAACAGGTGCCCAGTTTCTCTCCTCTGAGTTGTGTAGAATTGTTTCATCAGGTGGTGCTACACTAGTGGGCTCCCTGCCCTTCTCTTTTTCTTCCCCACAATGAGCTGCCTGGCCTGACACAAAATCTTGCTGTACAAATGAGCATGAGTTAAAACAGAGATGGAGAAAGGACATTCTTATTATTCCTACTTTAAAGCCAGGCTCAGAGTCCCTGTGTGTTGTTGTTTAACCCCAGTCAGCAACTAAGTACCATGCAGCCACTCGCTCACTCCCCTCCTCTGGTCAGGAGGAGAATCAGAAAGAAAGTAAAACCCATAGGTTGAAATAAGAACAGTTTATTAATTGAAACAAAATAAAATATTGTAATAATAAAGATAATAATAATAATGAAAAGGAGAAAGAGAGAGAGAGGAATAAAACTCAAGAAGAAAACTGATGCACAATACAATTTCTTAGCACCCACTGACTGATGCTCAGCTTGTCCCCAGGCAGCGAGGAGCCTCTCGCAGCCAACTCCCTCAGCATGACATTCTATAGTATGGAATATCCCTTTGGCTAGCTCTTTGGGCACCTGCTCACTGGCAGAGCATGGGAAACTGGAAAGTCCTTGACTTCGAATAAGCACTACTTAACAACTGAAACGTGTGCGCTATCAACATGATTCTCATCTTGAATCCAAAACACATCACTGTGCCAACTAAGAAGAAAATTAACTCTATCCAAGCCAAAACTAGAACAGTGTGTTACACAGGACCTAAAGGGAGAGTCAGCAGCAGAATTGGGAGGTAAATGCAGAACCTTGAATCACAGCCTGTAACCAGGGATAAACTTTTTCACAAATTCCTCGCAAGCTGCTGTGGGAGAGAAAGTAGATTTCTGAGGAAATGGACAAGTGCGCAGAAATTTTCAGCAACACTGGATACATGGCAGTCAACAAAATTCCTGTAAAGGCAGTATCCATTATGTATTTCTGGCAGTCCTTGATGGTCCTTCTTTGTGGGTTTAACTACACGCAGCCCAGGTCTTTATTTTATCAGGAAGCCTGGGATTTGCAGCAGCAGCACTGATTGCACTCCCTGCACACCTGCAATGCACCTCATGCCTCATCAATAAACAAAAAAAGACCTAATAATCTCTGGGATGTCATGCTGGTTCTACTTCTCCCTTTCCAAATCACACCCTGGTTTTGCCACAGGCAGGTGTGCTGCGGGTATCTGGAAACCCCTATCCTCAGACAGGGAGTCCTCAAGTCTGCATTGTCCTCCAGGACTTGGTTTCAGTTCCCTTAGGGAAAGGTCCTGCAGCTGACCTAAAGCATAAGCTTTTCTCAGTGGGAGGGAAACAGCAGTGTTTTAGCTGCCTATGTGCCATCACAGGCATCTCTCATGGACTCTTATTCCCTGCAACTGAGGTTCAGAAATCATTCCCACACAGACTTACCAGGGCATCTTAGTACTACTGTTTAGTGATTGAAATCAGGAACACACTGGCACCTCTGCCATGGTGACAGGGCTACACTCACAGGTGGAGGTGTCCCTACTGCACTGAGCAGGTCCTATTCTCGTGTTCCGCTCAGACGGCCAGCAGTACTCCCAGCAACATGCCAACAGTTCTGATGAGAGATATATAGCTTCTTCTGTGGCTGCTAGTAAATGCATTTCTATTATACATGCAGCTATCTGTCTCCTACAAGAATGGAAATTAGTTTATGTCCCAGACCAGACAGCAGAGAATTATAATCTGCAAGTGGCTACAGGATCATTTTCTCCATACAACTTAATTTAGGCAATTATCTTCTACACTGTATCCAACAATTGCTTAATAAGAATACCCTTTTATTGAAAAAGCTTTGTTCTGTGACTTTTTTTTTCAGTTCAAAGATCCAATGCCCTTCATCAGTTTGGGTTCAGTTGCTGCCCTCATGGTAGTGGTAACTGCCCTGCTGGCTCTTTCCCTGCCTGGCTGATGAGGGACAAAGTATCCCGCTCTCATTCTTGCTTCTCCTCCTGGAGGTTGCTACTCTGGGCAGCTGGAAGGGATGGATAGGAACACCCTGAGGTGGCACAGTGCTGCTTGAGGAAACTGACTCCTCATCCGATGTGAGGGAATGGGAATAAGACCAGGAGCTTTTGCAGCTGGTGACCAGTAATAGTGCAGCAGGCTCATGCAAGCAGTGCTGCCTCCAGTTTCAAACAAATAAGACTAATTTGAGTATGCTTGTATGTATTCATATGCTTTATTTTTTCTCTGAAGTGTCTGCAAGACCTTTCTTTGTGTTGTGGTATGCTAAAGGGTAACTGTCGTATTGCAGGAGATCAAATGTCCCTGTGGGCCTCACTGGCCCAGCTGGTTAGCACAGCTGACACAAGCCATAGCCAGCACAGCACAAAGACATACAGTGGCTCACAGCCTGTCCTTGTTTCCAAATGCATAGGGGCAGATCTCTCCCAAAGCCTACGACATGTCTCAGACAGTAGTCTCCAGTGGTTCTGCTCCTGTCAGAAATGACCAGCCTTTTCATTTGAAAGATTGCAATCTCATCACAACCAGAATTACCCAGAGCTCAGTGGGTGCCATAAGTCCCTGCTTGCTTTAGTCAGGCAGGTGGTAACATTGCTTTTAACACCTTCAGTACTACAAGGAAGGTAAGCAGAGGGCTCTGAGCAACCTGATCCAGTGGAAGACATTCAGTTGAAAGAGAATGTAGCTAGATGACCTTTACAAGTCCTTCCAACCCAAACTATTCTAAAATTCTATGATTCTGTGATTCAATTTCATATGAGCAAAAAAAAATGCCCTATTTCAAATCTTACTCTTTTTATTTCTGGTCTTCAGATTAGGTGGGAATTTGTGCCCTATATTCAAGATGTAGTGTCAAATTTCTGCCTCTACTATCACAATATTCCTGTGTGCTAAAGCATCTCTTGGCATGCTACAGCAATTGTACATTTATCAGCCAGATCTGTTTCCAGTTGAGAGAAGAAATAGCTTTTGCTTGGGAGCTTCAGAGTATTTTAAATAGCAGGGTGATTCTCTAGAATATACCAGATGAGCAATTACCACCTTTAAATCATGCACTGTATGTTACTGCTCCCATGAATATATGCCAGTCAGCATTATAAAATAAAACAATGCTACATCACAATATGGTACAGGGGACATAAAGCTACTGGGATCCTTAGGATAAGGGCTAAAACATAGCAACAGTCCTCACTCGGATAACCGTCACCAGGCAACATTGTCCATAGCAAGGGGAGATTCTCACCGTCTAATATGAGATGTCTATGGCAAAGAGGTGTGAGTTAGTGCTAGTAACTGGACACTGCCTTTTATAATCGCTGATGAGAAATAGGCAATTTCAGAGTGCAGTTTCTATGGTCAGTTTAATGTTTTCTTTATGATGACATGGTGCAACGAATCCTGTCTACTCATTCTGAAAATGTGATTCTGTCAGCTGCAGTGGGAGAAAACTCTGAGGAAAGGGCTTACCCTTCTTTTCCAGACCATTTTTTCCCCCAAATAGCTCTTTGTCCTTTCTTTCCTCAGAGACTTCAGGAAAATATCTTAGAAACAGTGGGTCAGGATTTGATCCTTTCCAACAAAGAACAAGAGGGTTCTGCACTGTAGGTCCCGTGCAGGCAGAGCTGTCAATCACACAGGCTGTTTATCAGCCCTTTGGCTTATACTTCAAACCTTTACTATTTCCCACAGCCTGTTTTAAAACAAACAGAAAAACAGAATTGTCTGAGGAGGTAAATGGCTTTCCAGTCAGTAAACACAGAGTTGACAAAACCCAGGTCTTTTGTTGACTACTGACATATGTGAGTGTGGATCAGATCCTCAGCTGCTGTGAATGGACTTGGCAACACAGATGTCCTCATTTTGTGATTTGCATGGATATCTCCATGTCATGATCTGCACAGATGCCCCCATATCATGATCCAGCAGCAGTTCAGCTCTCCAGTGAGGGTGGGGTGGCAAGTCCTGCACATCAGAATGATTTGTAACTGAGGGTTTTCTCTGATGTGAAATTCAAATACCTTCAAGCAAACCAATAACTTTTGCTTGTGGATGGGAAAGGGAGAAATGGTTTTCTAGAGAACAATATTCACTAACATTTATATCATTCAACAAGCTACCATTTCTTGATGTCATTGTAGTAATGACGAAAGGAAAAACACCTTTTTCTTGATAGAGGGTCAGAGGACCCTATCAAGGAAAACACTGTCATAAAGAAAGCATTTTACAATCAAGTAGCCAATTATGCCAAAATGGAAATAAAACTCTGTAAACGACAGAATAATTAGAGCTGTAATAATTACAGTTTTCAGTAGAAATTCTGAAATGTGAAAATGTATGAAAAACTCAGTTTGTAAAAGATTAGCATAGTGCTAAGGATCAGATCAGACTAAAAAATAACCTTTTCCATCCAAGCAATAGGTCATTTTTGAACAGAAAGGAAAGTGTAGGTGGCATAAAAGGTCAGGATTTTGGTACCGTCTTAAAGAAGTACAGGTACAAATCCACAGGTACAAATACTGTCCTTTTGAGAACAAAGTGAAAGGGGCACCAAAGAGGATGAAAAAAGGTCTGCATACCCAAATCCTACAGAAACTTCATTATCCCTGAGTGCCAAAGACCAGATTTATAAGGGCAGCTGACTACATTTATCAGCCTTACCTGCTGACTCTCTCTGGAAACCGCAAGCTACTCATCTTTCCAGTAAAGCATATAAAGGAGTAAATAGGAGCCCTCTGAAAGCTGAAGACTGTCACAACTTTCATGTTCTTCTGTTTTCCCACTGCTCTTTCTTTGTTTCATTCACTTGTATTTCCAGACCTCTCTTCTCCAGCAGGCAACCTCTCCGTGGACCGTAGACTGGGTGCTCAAGCCGGGGTACAACGTGAGGCACTTTCAGTAAATTCAATCTGCAGAAGCCACTCAGGGCACCCAGCCTCAGATGCTCCATAAAACTGATGCAAGCACAAAGCTGGGGGTGCAATATCAGAGACCTCTTTTGAAAAAAAAACAAACAAAACCCAAGACACAAAAAAACCCCTCAGGACAATATTTTAAGTCATTGACACAACTGAGCAGCAAAAAAGTCAAAAGCAGTCAATCTCAGTCAAACACAGTAAAAATATCAATGTCAGGCCAAAGTCACAATTTTCAATTTATGGGGGTGTGTATTTGTTTGTTTGTTTATTTAGGGCGAGTTTTCCATTTTTATATTGTTTACCGAGTTAAAGCAGTGCCACTTCCTGCATCTCCCTTTTCTGAACACAGTCCACACATGGGTGACAGGAGCGTAACCTGTTCTAGGCTTGGCCAGGTGATACTGTTGACATATAACCACACTTCTGCCGTTAGCAGGGCTGTCCCACATTATTTATTCAGCCCATTTACCATGGACTGATGCCATTTTGAGAGTGAAAGTGCTGCTGCAGGATACATCAGTGCAGCTCTGTCTGTGTTTGTCTTCTCAAACAGCTCCCAACAAATCTAAATTTAGAGCACTGCCAGCCTGTCTTATCAGCTAGACGCATAAAATCTGGGATTAGTTTAATTAACATTCACACAACCCTGCTGCAGAGAGTCCCCTGAATGTGGCAGTGATGGGAATCATGTGCAGACAGCAAACACACAGATGTAAGAGGGAGCACGCACTTGCCTTTTCTTGGTGCTGGCGGAGAGGTACTTGCAGCCCCTGTGCTGTATGCAACCCTATTCCCACCCTGGGTGCTGCCCTTGAGACTGGCAGCATTGGGGTGGAGGTGAAACCTCTCCATCCTCCTCCTCAGTGGCTGCAGGGAGGTATGGGGTACAGCTACAACCGGTGGGGCCTCTGTGGGCACCATTGTATGGGACCAGTCCCAGCAACGATGGTGGCACCACAGTCGCTGTGAGACAAGGCAGCCAAGTTGAGGATGAGGGATGAAGGTCTTAGCACTAAGGAAGACCCCAAATTTGAAGGACATTTTTTGTGTCTCCTCATGTTTGGCATGCAGAGATAGCATGTTGTGCTATGGGCAGACTCATCCTCCTGCCTCAGCAGTTGCTGATGTCAGCCAGCCTACCCTTGTCCTCAGGCTGCAGTATCCTACAGGAGTAATAGCTGGACTGATGGATGGATTTGGGCAGGGGCGGGGACGATGCTTTGGCAGGGTCATGGCATTTTCTGTACTTCTGCTCGGGTAACACACGGCTCATCCCAAGACGTGATGTGTGTTTGGAGTGGTGTCATTAGGTTAAAGCAAGAGTGTCAGGCTGGCTGGACATGTGGCGAAGGGAGAGAAGGGTCGCCCTGCTGCCATTACCCACTGCAGCTGATATCTTCTGCAACATCATCTACAACAGAGACTGTATCTGCATGTTTGCTGTTGGGATTTGTGACAGCTGAAGTAATCTGGGAATTCTGAATTGCCAATGAGAAAGTATTCAGCTATTTCCATGTAGGAAGGATTCTATGCTAATAGCACCGTACTAGGCATATAGTACATGAGAAAAACAATTCTCACTATTTCATGTGCTCAGCCCAATCTTTAAACCACAATCAACAAAACAGAAAGACATGGAGGGAAAAAAATTAATTTAAAAATTAATTCAGAGGGAGTGCTTACACCAGGATTAGTGATTTAATTCAATACAGAATTACTCTAGGCATGCATAATTCAGAGTGAGCTTTGTACTTCAACTTAAAAAGGAAAAAAAATTCTGACACTTGTACTCTAACAGACTGCAATGGGATGTGCTTAACTTTTTCACTCTAAGTGTCATTACTACAAGGATTTCTTATGAGACTGGGGACCAAATGAAAAGCAGGAACTGTGATTTTCAGGATTTCAGAACAGCTTAGTAGCCACCAGCATTATGGACATGGTTTTCAGCAGTGACTTTCAAAACTGCAATAAGTAGTCCACAGAGAGAGCTGGACACCACATCAGTGGTATTTTCAATTAGTGTGGTGAGGACTATCTGGGAGAGACATTATAGGCTGGCAGCAGTCCACAGGCTCAACTACTTTAAAAACCACTGATGTGATTTGTGGCATAAATAGTGTTTTTCTGCAGCCTTGAAACCTTTCAGAAAATAAATAAAATTTTATTTTATGAATACAGCTTACAGGTCTTTCCATCAAGCACATGTGTTTGGGTTATACAAGATATGCAGTTTTTATGCCAAAAATAGGAATTCTAAATAAGTAAATATTAGTCATATCACACATACATTGGTCTTTTGCCTATGATAGTTATTAGTAGCTGCTAAGAGAGTACCAGCTTATCTATTAGATATATACATATATATACATATATGTATATACATATATATACATATGTATATATATATGTATACATATACATATATATATATACAGTAGAATAGGTGAATGACAGGGAGGGATGGAAAGTTTTCCTGCAATTTTAGTAATCTCCCCCTGTACTCAGAAAATTTGATCTCTGAAGAGTTGTTTTACTGAAGTCTGCCATGAGTCCCAAATGTGACCATATGTCAGCACTGGGGTTTCAATCCGTACTGCCAGGCTCCTTGTAATTTTGAATCTAGAAGTTTTCTTTTCAGTCTGCCACTGATACACAAATAGAGGGAAAGACTTTTTAATACCAATTACAAAGGAAAATATCATTGTTTAACAGCTGCCTGAAAAGCCTTTGCAAATGCCAAAAGATCTCACAAGATCAGGGGAATTTTTATGTTGCTCAGAATTTTATATAGAATAAAATAAAAAGAGGCTCTGAAGGGAAATGCTGCTAATCTACTTAAAACTGGCATAGTTTTACTGAGTGCAGGATATTCAGTATTTTCTCCTTCTCCTTCAGTTTAGTTATTAATTTGATTTTTGAAAGCTCTGAAAGCAGGGGCTGTGGGAAATTTGAAAATATTTTCCTTTTAAAATAAAAGGAATCACGTGTTAATCTAGCTCTGGTAAAGAACGTCACAGCCACAGCCTTAAATTTCATTGCTTGGTTCCCAAAGGAGGGTTATATTATATCCCTCTTTTTGTTTCTTTGGCTCTCTGGCTCAGGTTAAGTACAAGGCTGCTTAGTCTTCTTATGAAAGATGGTTAAAGAAGCATAACAGTAATGTCCAGTCATCTTACCTGGGAAGTGAGATTGGCTTTAGCAGAGGTGGTTCAAATACCAGTTTCTATGTACCAAGACAATACCCTCAACACAAGAGGCTGGGTGAACATAGGATCTCCTGGGCAAGAGCTGTGGGAATCACAAGCATGCAGGTAAGGGCACTTGGTGGGGAAACGAGGAATTTTCATCAACTTCATTTTGTCCTGTTCTTGAATACAAAAAAAGAAATGTCTCAGGATATGAAACTCCACAGTTCAGTGTTCCCAAAACTAAATACAATTTGTTGGCAATTTGGTTTTCATCAGTCTTTCTCCTATATTGTGAATTCCATTTAGATAATGCTAGGTTGACAGTTGGACTTGATCTTAAAGGTCTCTTACAACCTTGATGATTCTATGTTTCTATTCTTACATCCAGTGTCACACTTGAAAGTAGACCAGTGGCTTTATATCTAAAGAAATACTTACAGGCATGAACCTGTGGAAATACTCCAATGTTTGTGCAATGCAGGATTTTGTGCATACAAGTAAATGTGTGCAAACATGTAGAAAGAGTTAGCAGGCCCTTATTGTGTGGGAAGTTCATTTTTGATTCAAAAAAATCCCACAGAGTGGGAAGGAATCTGCCACAGTTTTCTTTTTAAAATTTCTACTTCTTTCCGTTTCTATCATTGTTTCACTTAGCCTGCAGAGGCACAAACAGTACAGTCAGGCCAGCTCCATTAACAACCCTAGCAAAAGCACCTTGGTGAGGCACGGTTGCACTTCTTCTAACTCAAAATTCTCCTTAGAGTGCATGGAGCAAGCAGCATGCATGAAGCCAAAGGTGCCCTCCTTAGCCCTCGTTTGGCCTCAGGTCCCTTGGGGAACTAAACTTTGAAATATTTCCAGAGCAAAAATAATGTTACTCACTTCCACAAATATAAATCCATTGAAACACTGATTGCAAGCTATTGCTGTGAAATGCAAGTACATTTTCTAGGACTTGAAAGCACAAATTCATGAAAGACCTGCTCTTCTTGTCCATGTTAAATTCTTTGTGGGAAGTTTTATATGTATTCTTAGGCCTTCTCTGCACAGCATCACACTGAATGTGGGAACAAACAAGGCAAGCATAAGACCCAAGGCTTTAGATAACATGCAGATGCACTTGATATTGGTTGTATGTTTTTCTGAATCAGATTTTACAAGTGATTTCCCTGGAAGCTTTTTGGGGCCAAAACCCCTGAGGAAATTTTGGCACGCACTAATCACAATAGTTTTCTGTGGTGACCAACATCTCTGGGCTGGTTGGTGCAGCTTAGACCCCCTGTAACATAATACAAAAGAAAATCCTTGGGACTTCCTTCCTTGTGACTTACAGAAATATCACCCAGTAATTGTCCTTTTGGCCTTTTGCCTGGAGAATGGGATTTCTTCTCTTTCTCTTCTCCAAGTCATTGCCTCAAAGGCTTGCCAGTTTCTAGAGTTGTAGGAGAAAAGCTGCTGAGAAAGGGTCAGGCAGAGGATGAGCTTTTGTAAAGAAAAGGAACCCCCATACATCACCACAACAGGCAGTCATGTAGCTGAGTGAAGGGTATATCCCTTCTTTTTCATTTTCTATTATTGTCTGACTCCTCACAAGAAGAACAGCTATAAATGGCTATTCTGGTATTTTTAAAAAATGAAATAATAAAAAGGGATATGCAAATTTCAGCTTACTTTTAATGCCTTCTTTAATAAGTACTGAATGTTCTCAGCACTCCAGGGGAAGCAGAAGGAGTGGTATATGCAGTCTATTTTTAGTCTCTCAAACGTTATTTCCAGTGCACCCAGTAATGTATTATGGATTTCCGGATGGTAGAACAGCCGTTGAACTCTTCTAATTTCTCAAAATCTATCTAA